CATTAATGTTACATCACCCATTAAATCACCCAAAAAATATTTTTTTCCCTCATCAAACTTAGAAGAAGTGGCTTGATTTTGTTCTCAGGAGGGGACTTTGACAGAGTATTTCTCAAAAAAATACACAGTAAAAGTACTTCAATGTATTGTTAGTAGTAGGCTTACTAATACAAAGTCAAACCGTATCAATTTCATTAAGAACTAATGGTAACATTTTATTTTTGGGTCATTCCAGAATTGGAGGACATTTCATGTCCCCCATATAAAAAATCTAATAATCCATGCCCAAAAAGCTAAGACATGCACTTGTTGTGTTAAATATACTTGTCTTGAGACAAGATGCATATAAAGTTGTAGAAAAAGTGGTTTCAAAATATTATTTAAAATATCAAATAGCTCTCGAACACCCCCTAAAATTGCCCTTTTCTCTTGTCCCAGCTTCTTGGTGACCAACTTGCATGTCAACTATAACATTTAAAATAGGGTTTTTATTTCCTTTTTTGTATTATTCTATTGATATATGTGTCTTGTAATGGTAAAATCAATTTGTTAAATCATAAACACATTTTAAATAACAGTAATTTTGCACAGAAGGTGTGTCCCTCAACATGCGCGCAACCCTGTTACCGAAACCTTTTTAGCTTGGCAGAGGAAGTGAAAAAAGTGTTTGTCGCATGACACAGTGGAAAGGACATCAGCAAGCCATGTGCTACTACCATGGGTAGACCAAAACTAAGTCCTCTCTTTTATTTGTAATATATTTCCAATCTTGTCACTCTTGAAGGAGTGTGGCACTCATACAAACGCAACCCTGTTACTCAAATTATGAGACAAAAACAAATTAATCTCAAATGTATCTTTCTTTTGTTAAATATATATAAATATAAATATAATATAAAGTGTGTCCATTCCTTGACAATAGCATTACATTGTGCAGCTAGCATTAATTCCTGAGGTAAAAGCTAAAATTAGCATTGATTTTCAACCCTGTTACTTGCAACCCTGTTACTATAATTAGAGTAACAGGGTTAATTCTTCATTGGAAAATATACATTTGATGCCTTAGCTGGGCAAATCACTTTTTTTTATGGTTTATTATCTGTTTTTCCTAAATACATAACAAAAAATAATCAAATGAAAGGTTCATTTTTCAAAAATGTTGGTGTCTAAATTGTCCTCCAATTCTGGAATGACCCTTTTATCATTCATCAAAGATAGCAAAAAACATGCATTATGTACTATGGAGGGGACTCTGACAGAGGATTACTCACAAAGTACACAGTAAAGTACTTCCTTTTATTTCTGGTAGCAGTCAACTAGTACCGAGTCCAACAGTATCAGTTTTATTCAGAACGTATGGTAAAAAATATTTGTATCACTCATTGAATATAGCAGGAAAGAAAATGAAGAGCAGCTGATTGACCGAGTGCAGAATCGCTGTATAGTTTAAATCTCCTTAGTTACAATGTTGTCTATTTTAGACAAAGGCTTATTATATTTACAGCCCTAAGAACATTCATTTTCTGGGCTCAATATGTGTCTTGGCTGTTTTCGTTGTGATCGCTAAATTCAGATGCTGGATCGCTAGAAACACTGCTGTCATGATCAGGCTGGCAAGAGCTGTTCCATGCTCTGCTCAACCTCCCGTCTTCCCAATGGACTCAGTAGTGCCCCCTGCTGCCGTGGAGCATGTGTGAGTGAGCATGTGTGAGTGTGTATGAGCCAAGCCCCCAGGAAGTGCGCCGGACTCTGATGAAAATATTCGTGCTGGCCAAACGGCGGTACTACACTTCCTTTTGGTTGCCAGGCCCGGAAACACTTTTTCCCATTGACTTACATGGGGAAAGAGTGGTCTGTAAATCGTTGGATAATTTTTTTTAAACTAAATAAACTACCCAGTATGAACACTTGTATAGCCCTTATTAAAAACATTCGTTCCTCAAGTTGTAAAATGTGCTAATAACGTTATTCTGAGAGTTATTTCCCTCTGCATTATGAACGCGCATCTAACCCACGGGACCGCGCCGCCCGGCACGTTCATGTTACGTGTTCAGCACTACATGAGTTTATCTTTACCCATGGATGCACAATAAGAACGGACCCATATCGCCTTACTGCCAGCCCACGGAGCTGTAATAATGGATATATTGCACATGTTTGCTGTAATTCATCATTTGTAAAATATTATACTACATGGGCTGTATGATTAAATCTTGTACCGTAAATGTTGTATTAAATAAAGTTAATATTACCGACATAGATTAACGTCCCTGTAGCTTCTTATTGCACTAAGAAGCTTATTGCACTGTGTATATATATATATATATATATATATATATATATATATATATATATATATATATATATATATATATATATATATATATATATATATATATATATACAGTGCAATAATTCTTTCATGCTAAATGAAGCTCTGTTGCTTGGATATCACTAGATCCTGTTACAGCGTAATATAAAAGTACATAACGATTGATGTGTAAATTAGCATAATTACTAGCTAACCGCTAGCTGCTAACTGCCGCCTCGTTAATATCAAATCTATCATAACAAACATTACCATGCTGTCATGAACGTGCGGTGTTGTTACGTGTACGCAAATTGACGTGCTTGATGTGAACGAGCATTTTGGGGGGCATGGTTAAAGTTGCGCATGCGCTATGAGCGCACATACGGGTACTTCTCAGGCATGCCGGGTAATCTGTGACGTTTCGCTCTCTCAAAAGTTGGGCCATTTTATCATCATGCGCGAATGAGCAACTCTCATAGGAATGAATGAGGCCCCGCCTCCCACGCTGTATCCAGTTCTTATTATACATCCATGGTATGAGCACAACCACGGCGGAATATTACTGCCAAAAGTCACGTGACTCAGTCACGTGACTTTTGGCAGTAATATTCCAGTCACGTGACTTTTGGCAGTAATATTCCGCCGTGAGAAGAAAAAGTTTTGTACTTGTAAAAAAAAGTTTTGTAGTTGTAAAACAAAGTGTTGTAGTTGTAAAACAAATTTGTGCACTTGTAAAAAAAAGTTGTGTACTTGTAAAACCTAAGCTGAATTTGTCTCTGAAACATGATTTATTAGAAAAATGTTATGTGTTTGTTTGATAGATACGTTTTTTCTTTGCAAAACTAAATTCATTAGTTTGTAGATGGTGTTTTGTGTTTGCAAACCACATTGTGTTTGTTAGTGAATCATAAGGCATTTGTAAAACCTGTTTAGTTTGTTTGTGGAGTTATGGCAGGAAATTAGCTCCATAGTGAAGGTCAAACATTACAGTGAAGTAACACACATTTGTGATCTGGAGGGGGACTTAGGCTGTTTAGATTGAAATCTTTTTGGAGTAGAGCATTTGCTCACAAGCTCCCTTTGTTTAAATACCGCATTTTTGGAAGGCAGAATACGTCAAGGTTTTTTTATAATCCCTCAATTTATTATCTTTTTCCTTACTGAGGACCTTTACTGGCTGGGTTAATGTTCAGCTGACCTGAATTTAGCAACTAATAACCGGAGTTCTGTTGTTGTTGTTGTTATTTCAACAGCTGCCATTGGATTCTCCTTTTGTTCTTCGGCCGCGGCTCCACGGGAACACATACGGCAAAACGCATCGGAGTAACGCAAACGCAACCGCAAAAAACCTTCCACGCAATATACACCGGATTGTGTCAAGCTCCACGAGACGGCTCCGTTTACATCCAACCGCTGGAAAAGCTGCAGTACATATGCCGAGCCTGTACGTGGACCTGTAACTTCCTCCACAAAAGCAGCAACTTCCTCCACAAAAGCAGCGAAGAAGAATGGTTGTCATGGCTGCACTTCTGTTTATTCTCCACGGTGGGGGCCGACGGAACCGGGCAGAGTTTTTCGCCGGTCAACGTGTGTTAAAGTTTAAATCTTCCGGACAAAATTATAAAAGTGCCGGTCAAAGGTCTTCATTGTTATTTATTGAGCTTTAAAACAAATGAATAACGACGATATAATGATATATAATCATAAAATACACGGAGCCTGTCTCTTTTTCCTCTCTTCTGACAGCGTCAGTGTCTGTCTCATGCAGCAGCTGATCCTGTAATGAGTGACCCGACAGTAAAAATAAACATATTTATAACTAGTTTAGGTAGTTTGAGAGGTAATTAAAATAGCTAAGGGTGATGATCTGACTTGAAGTGTGTGTTTTGCTCCCGCTGCATCACAGCGGCAGGAGCTGCGTGTCTCCGTCCTGTCAGATTAGACTTCACTCGCGTTTATGTCCATATCGAGATAAAGATAAATAATCTGAATTCAAGGAGGAGCTCCTGTAGATGTTGCACAAAGAACTGTAGCATGGTCAGTAGCGACTGGAGCACGATAGCAACCCTGCGATCCGCCATTGTTGTTGTTAACGAAACACATCAGCAATGATGCGGGGTACGGAGAGGTGGGGAGAGGCGGGGCTATGAAACGGATGACCGTATAGGCGACCCCACGGCCCCGTTGGACCCCCCAGAGCGCTCCGTTCCCAGATCTATCCACCTTTGGACCCGTTGTCGTTTGCGGGGTCTGTTTCTACGTTTCCGTTACGGCGTCGTCGAGCTTAAAGAGCTATACGCATGAGAAATATGCGGATTCAACCCGTTTTCGTCCCCGTGGAGCCTAGGCCTTAGATTGGTTTCTGATTAACAGACTCCTTGGGTTCAAATGCACCAAATAAAAACCCAAAGATGATTACACTTGCCTTTTACTGGCAGGAAGACGGACCAATTCTTAAGGTTTGACTGTCTGAAATGTTAAAAGTGGAAATGTTGAAGAAAAACATAGATAAGTATTTAATTTAAGTTTAAAAAAACTAGCTGTTCTGTTACTTAATTCATTAGACAAGGGATGCTAGCGCTCTGCTGCTTATTAAATATAATACGCTTTTGTAGCTTTTGTAAAAATGAATGAGACACAAATCCAACAGAAATCTCAATAAGTAAAACCTTGAAAAAACGGATGCAAGTCAAGGGAAAAAACACAAACTTTATTCTCTTCTTTTTACAAAACATTTCAGTATCAACCTCAATAAATAATAAATCCAATACAGACTTTCAAAAAGAAAATGATCAAACTTAAACATGATCAGACACATTTCCTCAAACAGCAACTTATGGTGCTAGCCTTTCATTTTTTTGATGCTCTAGCACAGTAACAACAATGTGTAAATGTATGAGTCAAAAGGCAAAATCAACACAACAAGAGGGTGTTCTATTTACACTACAGAGTGTAAATCAAACACCGTAATGATAAGCACATGAGCGATGCATGATTATGACAGATATGACAATGAAAAAGGCAACTGAGATGTTTGCAAACGGCTCTTACTGTAAAGCAGCATGACTGCATCATGGCTGGCACACAACCACCTTCAACCAACAGACACAACTATCAATGTGGAATTTTTCTACACTGTGTGATTATTACAAAATCTTTATTGTCAGCCTTCATTTAGCTTTTCCTCACTTTGTTCATCTGAAACACATCCAGATGCAGCCAGATGAGCGCTGATGTACATATTTACATTCATCATGTAAATGTCAAGCAATGTGTGGATGTAATATGTTAATGTATTAATGTAAAGCAGCTATTTCTCAACAGCAAAAGCATTTTAGTGACTCACGTAAAATCAACCAAAAAGCCATGTACCTGTAATGACTAAATAATATTCCCAGAACATTATTTATTATTGGAGTAATGCATTTCCAGGCATTGAAAGTAACATGTATACTTTTATTAAGATAACGTGGATTTAAAATAATAGCTACCTGCAATCAGTAACACACAGTCATCAGATGAATAATATATTAGGCTATTTGTTGAAGTCTCCTGTGTGTTGTAGACTACATATCTTTTATTTATTTATCGTTGAGCATACATTATCATGACAGTTGCAGATACTAATAAGGCCATCCAGTTGTATTTGTTGCAGGACATACAGAAAGATTTTGGTTTATATTCGATGATATCTGAAATATTGATGTTATATAAAACTGTATGTATGTTGGGTGATACATTTTAATAAGTCATCCAAACTTTTTGTTAAATAGCCATTTTAATGTTTGTTACTATATGCATCATTCTGAAATAAATTCTAGTGTAATAATTTAGACTGATTACAAAATAAATGTCAACCCTTGTTCCTCACAAAAAATGCTCTGATGGTTTCAGAGGACAACAATGTCAGTGAGTCAAACAATTGCCAGATTGCAAAATGTATCGTACAATTAAAATAACTTCTACTCCAGTCTTCATCATAATTTCCCCATTTTCATATATTTTGCCAGATTGTTTAAATCATTTCCCTTTTATTTTTATAAAAAAGAATACAAAAAAACATTATTTAAATGTTGTTTAAATGGGTTCTGACTACACACTTTGTTATGGACTGATAATATGAGATGAGCGGAAAATGTCCCTAGTGAGGCACAAGGGTTAATTAATGGTGCAGAGACTCTATCTGCAAAATTGGTTCATTGTGGATACATATTTACGTACAAATATATGTCTCTAGTGAATTATACATGCTAACCAGAAACATACTACATTTACCGTAACTGGAAAGGCTTGTTGCCTAGCAAACTGTGCCTTAAATGAGTGACATGTGAGGTCACCAGACTCAATCATTTTCTATATGGCCCATACCTCTATATTTGTTATGACATGGCAGCATGAATAACATGAAAGTTATATTATGTTTGTGGAGTACAAGTGAATAAAGTGGTGTTTATTTGTAGCATGCATTTGGATTTCACCCTTCACTTTAGTCATTTCCATTTTTCCACAACAGTCTTTTTTCGCATGAAACTTGGATATTTGCGCATTACGAGGGTTGTTTACTGGCCTGTACCCATTCCAAATTGGAGTCAAAGTCACACTTTCAGATCAAAAGACCGTTTCTGTCCCTCCATTCCCTTTTAGCATTTGGTCTTCCTTTCCGCAGGTTTGAGTTTGAAATAAATTGGAAATGTAGTAGGTGTTGTGTGTCATGCAGAACAATTTAAATGTAACAACACTACACAATTAAAAGCAGGGAAATGTCTATGTTCACATGGTAAAGCACCAACTCCATCCATCATAAAATAGGAGAATGCGGGCTGAAGGAAAGAAAACCTTGGTTTAAATTGTCATACCAATTTACAGGTTTGCTTTGCATTGACTGGTGCCTGCAGTGCAAGAAAGACAAAGTTGAAACATGAGGTAAAACAAAGCGGCGCGGTGCGTGAGAGATGCCATGAAAGGTACAAGAGTGTCAAAAAAGTTAAGCAACCTTTCAGAAAACAACAGGGACAGGTGTGAGGAATCCTAGGAACAGTGCGGATACATGTGTTGACAGTAAATACTAGAAATCATAGTTAAAGTCACTTAATAAATCAGGACAGTCAAACACAGAGAAATAAATATATATTAGGTGCAATGCCATTTGCTCAAAGGTCATGTGATGCACTGAGGGAAGGTGGGTAGAAATTACAGTGTGCCCATTCCAGTGACTTCAGACGTCAGCCTAGAACAGTTTGGGGGAAGGCGGGGGAGGGGAGGGTGGGGTGGGGAGGCAGACAGAAAATAAAACAGCTGTGAAAGAAGAACTTTCCCTTGGAAGTGAAAGTAAAGTTGCAATGGCTGGTTCTGTGCTCCAGTGTTTGCTGACACTGCAGGTTGTGGTTTTCTCCGCAGATTTGATACCATATTTATATAATACCCTTCAACAAAAAACACCTTTACTTGTAAAAATATGGTATTTAACCATGCAGTTCTATCCCCCTGATGAAGCCATGCAGTGAGGAGAAAATAATGGTGTATGAAATGAGTATAAATTGCTGTATTCCCTGACAGAGGCATCACATCACTCTTCTGTCAACAGCATTGCTCGAGTGGCAGTCATGTGTTTTGTCTTTTTTTACTTTTATTTATTTTACATTTTTTATTCATTTTACTATTTCAGACAATGACACAATAGGACTAAATAGGCACGTTTATCCAATAGAACAATGAAAAACAGAAAGACAATATTATTCTTGGAATAAGGCATGCTAATTAAACACTTAAAGAAATAATTAGACATTTTGAAATGTGCTTTTTTTTTTCTTACAGCAAAATGAGAAGGTTAATACCACCCTTATGTTAAAGTTGCACGTTAAAGCCAGGAAGTGGTTAGCATAGCATAGCATAGCATAGCATAGCATAGAAAAACCAGTGCATGTCAGCATGTCACATGTCACAAAAAAAGGCATGACTTCCTGGAGCCTTTATCTCAATGTGAGGGTGCCACCATGTTAATGAGTGAGCTTTATAGGTGCGGGTCACCTTTAGACAGAGCCAAGCAAATGGATGCGTTCAATTTGTAACGGTATATTGACATTTCCCATTTTCTACTTGAAGAAAATTAAGCCGAAAACCCCCTGAAGTAGCATTTCCAATAAGGAATGTTGGGAGTATCTCATCACCCAGACATCAAATTCCAAGAGGGCTGTTAAGTAAAAGCTATCTTAATTTACAGTTTATTAGTATATCTGTATATTTATACACACAATACCGTACAACTTTTATTTGTGGACCTGTTGCTTAAGTGTCAGCACAAAATACAGCATAATACCTTGTAAACAACTGGTATTGGTCGCTAAAGCTTGAATGTCTAGAACTGGCTAACAACTGTTTCTGGCGTAATTCACAACTCCAATTTCCAACTTTCAAATACAAATTGAACCCACCATAAGCTTCTGACTAGCTAGCTAAACTAACCTTCTCCTGGATATGGCTACATATTTAACGGAGAGAGATGAAAATGGTATCAACCGTATTATCTGACCCCGAGCAATTATAAGAACAGAATTTTACAAAAATGTCAAACTATTCTAATCGATACACTGGCTCCATCGTTTAAAAACTAATCCCAGTGTTATCAATTTTACTAAAGTTAACTCCATTGGCTAATGCTAAGTGTTGTGCAAGGGAGTCTAAAGGGGAAGTTCAATGGGATAACACACAGAGGTTAATTGTGAAACAGCGGTTTTGATGTTAGCTTTTGCAAACAGAAGCAGATTTGGGGTGACTTCAGGATGTAGTCATGGATGAGGGGTCATTCCACATGGCAGCCACGTCCCTGAACCTGCCATTGGAATTGTGGGAAAGCAATTGCCATTAGTTTTTCAGCGGACTGTCATCAAAGACAGAAAGTCCTGTTTGTTGAGTTTGTGGCTGCTCTGACGTTGATAACATTTGACTTTGAGGTGCAGATATCCTGGGGACATCAGTGAGGGTTGGTTTTTCTCAGAGCTGATAATGTATTACTGGTTTCAGCAGGGAGAACAGCACACAGAGGGGTACAGAGTCTAGCAGAGATATTAAAATGAAAAAATAGGTTTCTCAGAATTGTACTGTTCACAATCCAGAACCTGCCCTAGGTCTCGTCTTGGGGCTCAACACATTTCGTCTTTGAGGTAGTTGCTTTTAATTGAATAACATAACTTGATAATTGACTGACTGAACATACAGTTTACTTATCTGCAGATTCTGTTCAAAGACACAGCTTACTTGTCTCAGTATTTGGCATTGCTCCCAGGAGCAACTTACTTGCAAAGAGGGTACTGGCTAAAATCTCGATGCATTTTAATGCCTACACTTGGGTTGAAATAAAGGACAAAAGAAAGAAGAAAAAAGAAAAAGGAACATTATTCATCTGCTTGTCAAAACCTGTCAGATATGGTGCTTTTTCTGGCAATCCATCAAAGAATTAATGTCAGAATTAAACTAGCAAGCTATATATATATTTTTTATACAGCACAGCTACAGTTTTGAACCTTCGGAATTGTGCCAGATCCCAGCAGATAGGGTTAAAGTTTACCTGGCATTGATGAGATACTGGGCCAGACTGATGTTGGCAGGACTCCCTGTGATGGTGATCTGGCGCTCCGAGGAGCCCTCCATGGCATTCGCGATTTTGATCTGCGCTCCAGACATCTGTCGGATCTCGTTTATTTTGGTTCCCTGGCGTCCAATGATGCAGCCTATTAGCTGGGGGGATGAGAGAAAGACTTTGGAGCATTAAGCAATACATGTATCCTCATACCTAAAACATTTTACATTTAAAAAGGTGTTTAATGGGGCATGAAATGGTCTGGGTTCCATTTAAATCCTATCACTGCAGAAATCAGGTTTGATTAAGTGTAACATGGTCACTAGATCAGCTGATTGGTGGAATTCTACTTTACAAGAAGTGGAGTTGGCAGGGTCCTTGTTTGTAATCTCATTGGCTCTTATTATTTAACATTTCTATTTATCGTTTAAAAAACAGGAATGACTTAGGGTACTCTACTGTGTGCAAATATGTATTTTCTTTTGACTCAATTAACACTTACAACTGCCAACCACCCTGTTCAATTGCAGTGATATGACTGTTGTCTTTGCAACCTTGCATTTTTTGCACAATTAAAACTTTCTTAACATCGTTCCAATGTTGTATGACAATGCCAATTGAAAGACACCTACATTGAAAGGTACATAATGAAAAAACAAACAGTATCAGCTGTCTCCAAAAAGCATTACTCACATCATTGGGAATGGCGAGTTCATGGGTACTGGCTGGTGGATTGGCATCCAAACCTAAATTGGGGAGCAATTGGATAAGAAGGGAGACTTGACTAAAAAGCCCACTTTACTTCAACAGAATTATTTTGAAGTTTTGGGAAATACGCTTATTACCTCCTTAGCCAAGAATTAGATGAGAAGTTTTGTTGCACTCTTGACTAAGCGTAATTCCAAAATATCAAAGTATTACTTTGAGAACTTCGTAAGCCTATTTCTCAGCGGATCATTTTGCTGTTTTTTTTACGCAGTTTCTCTTCATTCTTTATTACATCATGTGTGTGTGATTGGATAGAATGTGAATAAAGTCAGCTAAAACACATTTAAATTAGAGCACATTTTCACAAGAACTCCTGATGATTCAATAAATAATTCCATGTATAATGGTATTTGCCACACCCTAGATGAAAGTAGGGAAAAAAAGAATCAAACATAATTATTCATGAGATCCTCAGTTGGGTGAAAAAGTTCAATTTGGATGTGGGGGTGATATTCAGTTAGTTATAACAGAACAATGTGGGTAGCCTATTTTTCATCTTTAATGGAAAGTTAGACAACCTAACAATGTGTCGCCAAGAGATAATGCATTCCTCAATGCATTGTTTGAAAGTGAGTCCCACTGTTTTTTTAGGTTGTTCTTTTTGCATACCATTGGCATAATATCAGACAGAGCCAAGAGAAAAATATATACAAGGAAAAAATCAAAGAAGGAGAGAAACCACAGGGGTCAAGTCATGCTGTGCCAAAAGAGATAAGGGCAGGAAGGGAATGTTTCTCAAGGGCCTTGAGGGTACGTACCAGGGAAAGCAGGGGTGGTCTGTCCGAGGGGGGTAAAGGGGGTTTGCTGCATAGCCAACTGGTGGAGCTTGGTCAACTGCTGAAGGGTTAGGAGGGAAAGTAGAACTAAGAGGTTACTGGTACACAGGTCTCACCAAGAAATTAAGCCAACAGAAACTAAAGTGAAGAAACGGTGAGGAGAAGGAGGCAATGACACAGGGTGGTGGGGGACAAAAGTAAGGGAAAAGGAGGTAAAAGAGAGAGGGTGATTGTCTGTCATGGATTGGCAAATTGCTATGTAATTTGCCTTTTTTTCAAATACTGTTATGATCTAAGGTTTGGTTTCCTGTTTTATTTTGAAATGTATTTTGTCCTTGTATCTTGTCTTGTGTTACTTCCTGTCTCTGTGTTTTCCCGCCTGTTTGATTGTCTAATTCATTACACCTAGTACCAATTTTGTTTTGCATGCCCTCCTCAGCTGTGTCTTGTTTTGGTGATTAGTGTATGTATGCCTGTCTTCACTATAGTGTTCTTTGTCAATTTGTCGTCATTGTTTCTTCTGTGTGGTTCCTGGTTTCCTGTCTGTAATATTCTGGATTTCCGCATCCTCCATTGTTCTCCCGGTTTGTTTCTCGTTTTTGTTTGCTACTTTTCCTTTTGGTTGACCTTGCTGGTTCCTCCATTTTTCATAAAGTATTTATTTGTACCAGCTTGAATTTAAAAAATGTGTTTATATTATTATAGCCGCCTCTTGAATTCTGCATTTGGGTCCTGATTCCTTTCCCCTTTGACACATACGTCATTTGTTTGTCTTTTAAGAAAATGGAGAGCGAAAGAAGTTCGTTCAAGGGCCCATTAACCAAATGTAGGGAATAATTCAGTCCCATTTGCCCCCTCGATTACCATTGTGTCCTTCAATCTGGCACTATGACTCAGAACTGGGAACATTTAGCTTTACATGCCTGTCAGAGCATCCGCCAACCCTCGACATGGTCACAGGATTTCCATCCCCTGCTGTGGATTATTTCCATCAGCAATGGGGGAAGACGGATGCTTTCAAGCCTTCGCCTCCTTTTAAGAGGAGTTTTAATGAGGGTGGGAGAGGATGTCATGCCTGTACTTGAGTGATTGTGCCGTCAACCACCAACTCAAGCGGTATCAATCAATGCCCAACTTTGAATTAGTGGATCTGACACAAGGTAGATCTTGAGATGCGCTCACGACAAGGACAGATGAAGGCAGGTTATTAATGGAGACTACATGGTCCACCAAAAGTAAAAGGGGTGTCTATATCATAACTGCCATAAATGTCTTTGCCTTTATCGATATCACAAGGAGTCAATGTTTTGTTATCAACCACAACTGGTACGAGTTGTTTCCGTCGGTTGAGCTTCAGTCCACCCATAAATTACTATTTTGAAAATGTAGATAATTTAGATTTCAGTAGAATTCTTGATTGTATTAGAAAGAGACCGAGAACTCACATCTGGGTGGGGTATGGCGTACTGTCCCTGAATTGTGTAGGCCTGAAGAAATGACAGAAAAAAAACACATTTTAGCATCTCATTTACAATAAGCACAATAAGATAATGTCCATTCTAAGCGCCATACACACCAGCTGTCCACTTTTAGTTCAAATAACCATTATATGGTCTCATTTGCAAATGTTTTGTGTTTCTTAAAATTAGTAAGTGATTTTGTTTGAATGGATATTAATTCTCTAATCAAACTCATCATTCAATATTCATAAGTAATTATGTAAATGACCTTGAAGAGTAATGGTACCTTGTTATTGCAAGTGGGTGGCAAACAAGATACTGTCCGATATGATTTAGTGCATTAGTAGCAATAGTGCATCCGAAACAAACTTCAACATGTGCTTTGTGAATAAAAACAAAAATAAAGTGGTTTGGTTAACTTCAGTTATGTAGATAAGGTAAGTATGTGTATGTGATGTAAGTTAACTCATGTACGTATGTTAAAATACGTCAACGTAGACTTTTGGCTTGACACCAGACACGGACAGCAGTCTAGATAAACTACAGTACTCCATGATTCTTCATCAAAAGTTTCTTCTGTTTCTTTTTGTATGCATGCCTGTCCTGCCCAGCTGTTTTCTTTCCTTGTGATTAGTCCTGCATGTATTTAAGTTCTGATTTTCCGGAAACAGATACACACCCACTGAACTGTTTACCCAAGATCCTCAGCTATGGTTTAAGCTCGTGATTGGATTGTTTAGCCGCAATGCACGTTGGGATATGGTGTTTATGTGATATGAAATACGAAAAACATTTTGGAGTTTAGGATGGCCGAAGACACTACACTACCCATAATCCTCAGCTATCGTTTGGGACTACAGTCCCGTTGCTTGACAAACCCGTGATTAATCTTCAAGCTCTGGGATTGGATGTTGGAGTGGCAGTGAGCCAAGGTTACGCCGAGCGTCAAACAGCACTTTGAAATGGAACGAAACCACGGCAGACTATCCAAAACTGGACTCGAACGGGTTTTTGTAAAACAGACAGAAAGGTATATCCGTCATTTAATGGTAAGCTATTGAAATTCTGATTCCATAGATGTGTCTCCCAGTCCCATCAGTATTTATATTCTTATATTCAAAGAAAATCAGTAATATCTTTAAACACTACAAGTCATTTTCTATCAGCTGTGCACCGTTATGGTGTAAATATAACCTATCTACCAATTGGATCAAATTTAAAAGTCAGCCGAATTAATGTTGATACTGCAAGGAGACGTATTGTGTGAAGAGAAATTGAAGATGTTGTTTAATTGCTGATATATTTATGATCCACGTCACATTTTCAGTTTCGGTAGCAGTTCTTCCAGTTTGTCTAGAAGTCTTCTAATCAGGGCTCTATAGATAGAGAACTACGGCAGATGTGTAATATTTAATGCAGCCGAACCGTGTATTACAATGCCGTTATGTGATGACTTCCAAAGAGAAAAGCAAGCAGACTCGGATTAAAGTATTATTTTCTTTCTTTTTAAAAACGTTTTTCGGATTTCATATCGCATAAACAGCATATCCCAATGTGCATTGCGGCTAAACAATCCAATCACCGAGCTTAAACCATAGCTGAGGATCTTGGTTAATCAGTTCAGTGGGTGTGTATCTGTTTCCGGTTATTTTATTTTGAAATTCAGTTCCTGACGGATGCCAAAAAAGCCCTAGATTATAGAATTAAACAAATAAATAAAAACAAGGATAATTGTGTGTTATTGTTGACTAAATAACAGTGTGTTATTTAGAAAAGAATAACAAATTAGAAGGAAAAAAAGATTTAAGAAAATACAAATTTCAGTATTCTGAGGCTCTGAGCCCCATTTCTTTTCCTCATTGACGGCAAAAAAAGTCAGACATTATACGATTTAAAATTAAAAACAATAATCGTGGCTTGATATTGAGTAAGAACATGTTTTTATGAACCACACAGCTTCCGGTCTTCCAAGACCCGACCGGACAAAAAGACGTGGTGCAGGCACGAAACATACTACCAATAGAAATACATTGCTTTTAAAATCGTTCTGTGTGACACGAAAAAAAGATTAAATGTCGTGACTATAACACGAAATGCCGTGAGACTGGGTTGTCTGTCAAGTTGCTACTCAGAGTGCACAGGCATATCTGCACCGCACAAATGCAGGAACACACTTGTCAGGAAAATGTAAACACAGGCTATTTTAGCATTAGCAAACAAACAACCAATGATGTAAGCTTTGGAACAGGGACAGCATGATTTGTTAAAGGGTTGTGTTGGCACAAACAAAAAAAGTTGAAAGGCTTGTTTGTAGCCTTTATTTAACCAGGTGAAAAATCCCATTGAGATCAACGATCTCTTTTTCAAGGGAGACCTGCTTGCAGGAACAGCAGGCAGCAGCTGATACTACAGTAAGTCTCAGGTTAGCTGTAGGCAGAAATGAACAAGCTAGCTCAGCTTACCTGGCCACCAGAAAAAATGACTGGGGTGGAGGCGGGCTTTGGGCGATAAGGGATGGTGGCACCTTTTGGTGGAGACTGAGAGAAAGAAAGGAGAGGCAGTCAGCATGTTCTTACTTTATTAGGACAAAGTTCAATTGGAAGATAGCAGAAACTCTAAAAGTAGGCTACGCTAAATATTTTAGCTTAGCTTAGCAAAATAACTACCTTACAGAGTAACATGTCATGTCTTCTTTGTTTAATCCGTACTTAAACTAAATTGTAAAAGCAACAGAGTAAGTGACCTTTAGTGGTGATGAGATGCAGATTATGTGACCTTATGTGATTATGTGAGCCAAGCTAGCTGTTTCCCCATTTCCTGTCTGTATGCTAAGCTAAGACTGTAGCTTCAGATTCAATGAACAGATGGTATTGATCTCCTGAACTAACTTTTAGTATGAAACCTAATAAGAATATTTTTCTAAATCTTGAACTATTTCTTTAAAATGTGTTTTCCTAGCCAGCTATTTACTGTGTGTTATTTAATGCATGTGGAGCAGGGCATAGATTTTGAAAGCCATGATTATTCAATAATCATCAGGGAAGATTCGATCCTATCCAATATGCTTTATTGTCATGAATGTAAGACAGACAATATTGGCAATGCTTCGAGTAATGATTAGATTAAAAGGAAAAAGAACGGGGTATAATTGGGAAAATCAAGAAAATTGCAGAAATAACTAAAAATAATGTAGAAATATTCTAGGTAATCACTTTCAGTAAATCTAACTGAGACAATAATGTGTTTGTACGCTTACTGTGATTTTCTTTTCTTATTTCTGGCAGCTTTTTAAATATATTGTTCATGAAAAATAAAGGAGTTGTTGAGTGCAGATGTATTCATAAAGATAGGAACATATGTCTACCCGGCAGGTAAATCCTGATGACTAGAGCTTGAATCTCCGCAACTCTTTTCTATCTTACTTTTTTGCTGGCTTATATTTCTACGGCAGCAGGGAGGGGATTTCAGTGAGAAGGTTGGGGACTTCCAGCTCTGAATTTACAATTACGACAGACTTATCGATTTTTGCTGTGCTTCAGCAACAAGGCTGTTCAAGACAGTGGAGAGAAGGCTAAATCAGGTTTCCTCTGTAGCTGCTGCTTTAGGAGGAGGATTACCCACATGGGTATGAGCTCCAAATCCAATATCATAAACAGCAAGTGTCTTCCTAATGTTGCAGAAATAGGCTTTTCCTGACAGTTCTCATGGATAGTTATACACAAGACGTGGTCAAGTGGGAATACAAATTGCTTCAACTCCACTGTAATGAGATTATTTTTATCAGTTTTCTTAAAGTAGTTACACCACAAATTAATTATTCAGTTTCTGCAGTAATATAAAACAGATATAGCAAGAGACAAATTGGCCTCCTGAGCCTCAATTATAAAAAATGATTGCTTGTCAAATTGACGTTTATGGACCACAATAACCAGGTGTCTCTGCCATAGCCTAACTTGAATCTGTGAAGCAATTTTAAAACCACGAACCCTGAGAAAATGCATTAACAACAAGAAGTGAATATAACAACTTATAGAGACATGTTTCACGAGTGTCTTGCCAGAGCTGCAACATAGCGCTTGTAGCTTGAACTGTTCACAATGCCGGTTTTTGTAAGATCTGCAGAAATATATAATTTCTTTACTACAATTTGAAGAAAGCCGTTTTGCTATATCTCAACATACCTCGAGCATGACCACACATATTTGTTTGACACACTGGATGATGGCTTCTGGGGTTCCGGAGATTGTCACTGCACGTTCTGTGGAGTTGGGCAGCATGTCCCCTGCTACCTGGACCTGGGCCCCTGTGGACTGGAGTAGAGCAAGGGACTTTGAGGTACAGTGTTAACAGGAGTCTGTTCTTGCAGTGAATCAATGCTGCACAGGAAGTGAAGAAAGCACGTTTCCACAACCAACTGGCATTGGAGGAAGGTTTATTAGACTGGGGGCAGTAAATGTTTGACCGTTTAGACAAATTGTGATCTATTTGCATATAGAGCAGAGAAGTGAGAGCCAATCACCAGTGGTCACTAGAGACACATATGGAAAAGCATTTGTATATGGTACCAGGTGGGAATTTAACTTTTAAGAGCCGTCCATTTGTGTTGAGATCCCCCAAGATGCATGTTACTGCCAGATGTGAACAGAGCTAGTCTTGTTTATAGATGTGTGTGTTGTATGTGTCTATTCCCAGCCTGTTCTTTGCCCCTTGAACCCTCCATATCTCCCACATCCGAGGTAATCATCTGACCTTGCTCCCCAGTGCCTGTAGCCCGCATTTACTTATCATACAGGGTTTGTTGTGGAGTAGGTTCTGATTGAATGAACAATATGTGAAAATGAGAACAGCCTGTTACAGGACTCAATTATGTTGTTAATCTAGGTCGGCAATGTGTGCTGAAATGATTTTCATATTCATTTTCCACCATATCAAGTAAAAAAAAACATGTAGGAAAAGGACCAATTTAACAATTCAATGATACATTTACATATCTATTGTTCTATAAGTACTCACAAAGTAACACAGAATGATAAAAGCGTATTCTTATAAAAAGCCTGACTTATGGTAATGAATCATTAAAAAAGTTTGATATCATACCTCTCTCATTTCTTTGATTTTGGAGCCTCCTTTACCTATGAGAGAGCCACACTGGCTGGCTGGCACGACGAGCCTTAAGGTGACAGGGGGCTTGCTGGTTGCTTGGCTGTTGCTCATGGAATTGATGATGTCCTAAAAAACAAGAACATTTCATTTTGCAGTGGTAATATTTTCAATGTGACCCAAACAAATTAATGACTTAGTAATGACTCATCATAATTCAGTTTAACAAATGTAAAAGTCCAGGACTAGCTCCGAAAAACATATATTTCAAACGTCCTTTCATATGTTGACGGATAAGCAGTGCTCTTTGGCTCTGTCAGTAAATAACAAGCGGCCAGATTATACGCAGGTCATTGAGGACAAATCATTTCAAGTTCCAGTCACACTGCTTAAGTATATCAATTAGATAAGTGACATCAGAGACAGGATCAGAGAAGGTCGCCGAAAGGATGCCATTTAAATTCACCTGCAGTATTAAAGCTTTGAAATACAAACAACCACTGCAGGAGCGTGTATACATATTTACTCTATTGCTGAGTCACAATTTGCGTACTTCTATAACTACATTTGCTTTTATGAGTGCATAAGTGCCTCCCGAACTATGAGTATCAAGAACACTGGACATTTCTTAAACTTAATGACCGCCATCTTGGCTATGTAAACACGACATATATATGTGTCAGTAAAGTCTGTGTTCACTCTTTAATAGCTACAATAATTGGTGCAAAATAAAGCATCATACCAACTCCCATTAACATACAGACAGACCTGTGTGTCAGCTGTGATAAATTGAGTTACAATAGCCGAAACACCACGATAGATTGTTTGAAATGAGATTGGACTCAACACTTACCTAAAATGACACTAATAAACTCAGGCCGACAGATACGCTGTTTGAACATGTAGATGGCAAAAAAGGCCTTCAACTCCAAATTGAATATCAGTTCATGAGCACAGTGAGTTGTGCATCTTATCATACCTCCTCAAATTTGTAGGCTATCATAGCAAAAGCCTTGAAGATGGTGTCTGTTGGTCCAGTGATGGTGACAATCCTCTCGGGACAGTTACCCTCGGAAATATTGATTCGGGCTCCACTCTGGATAAAAAACATGCACTGTCAATAGGGTCAAAAAAGTCAATGCAAGACCTCAATTCAGCAATGAATCTCTACTAAACAGAAATAATGTATTCACTGAAGCCACTAGAAAACAACACGCATGTAAGCAAGTTTTATTCTGTAAAGTGTAGCAGTAAATCACATTGTGACTTGGTTGCGAAAAAAGGCTACAAGGATTTTTCAAGAATTAAACTCACCTCTTCACGCATTTTCTTTACTGTTTCCCCTTTCTGTGGAAACATTCAAGAGAATTCGTATTTAAAAAATACAATTAAAATCCTCAATAAAAGTTTTTTCCATGAGTACAAACATATGTGACGATAAAAATGACATACCTTTCCAATTATACTTCCAACCTCCTGCAATAAAAGAGAGAAAAACACATGGGTTATAAAAAAGGCTTCATTGAAGAATCTTATGTATGAATGTACAGTACTAAAACTGCCTCGCTGCTGTTATCCCTTGACGAAGTTTAACCAGTAAAGGGGCATGCAGAGGATCATAGCTGCATGACAGTGTGGAGGGTATCACTCTCCATATGCATGCAGTCACTCTTCATGAGCTTGGTGTGGCATGGTGAGGAAGGTGCAGTGGGGCGGCGCTGACTGCACCAGCAACACTCACTAACCTCTCCTCGGTGACTGCCAGGGTAACATCCGTTGTGACGTTGAAGCCTTTTTGTTTAATCCTTTACTCAAAATAATTTCCAGTAATACTTTTGTTACTAGCCACAAATGGTAATGAAAAATTCATACCCAAAACAAAAAGAACAACATGAAAGCTAAGGAGTCAAAAGATTCCCCTTCAATCGTATCAACATCTATGACGTACAATATTTAGATTCAGAGGGAGGGGTATCCAGGACAGTATACGCACTTTAATGGACACTTTTCAGACTTCAACACTGTGGAGGAATGGTTGTGTCTTAGCAAAGCACTTCTAGTCCAAGGGGCACCCGATCATGCTCTCCAACACCTCAAAGCCAAGCCAAGTCAAATGACATTCCTACGCAACAAAACCATATTGTTAATTGCGCTTCAAGGTAAACATGTCACTGATTACGTTTGTTTTTGACAAATCACCGATATTTTTATGCAAAGGTCAGTTTAGGGAGTTGGACGAAAAGGATGATTGTCCCTTGTGAAATCAGAAGTCACCGTTACTTTTTAAAATGTAGATCTGTAACCTAATGGACATAACAAACATACTTAAAGCCAAGGGATGTTTTACCACACCTAACACATACATGTAGTTCGTTTTGAATAGAGTAGTGTGTTGTGTTTTCTTTTCTTTCAATTCACAACATGCTTAAAGCTAAGAGATAATCTGGGAGGAATATATTTTCCCTTGAAAGGTAATTAAGTATGTTGTTTAGTTGTATGGAGACAGGGATCCCCCGCCCCCCTACTAAGAAGGGCACCTCAGTGAAGATGTATAGTGTGGGTTCTAAAATGACCTCGTGGCCTTAACGTTATCCAATGAAAAAACCCAGCCCAATATTCCCTAATCTTTTCCAATTAAAATACCATAGCCGCTTCGCAAAAAGAAAATCCAAAAGCTTAACTCAAGCAAGAAAATTACCAAATTGGCGACATCCCTGTCCCTTCAAGCATTACTCCAAAGCCAGTCCTTTAAAATAACATTATGAACCAAAATGACCAAATTTGCTATATTGTTACTCAAACAAGTCAAGGTAGCAGCTTGTGGAATAAGTGCAAATGATAAATGGACTGCATTTTTATAGTCATTTCTAGTAATAATCAGTCTTTACGACCCCTTAAAGTGCTTTTAAATACACAGGGCATACCACTGGGAGCCATTTGGGGTTAAGTATTTAGCCCAAGGACACATCATTACGGAGCGATTAAACCACCGGCATCCGGTTGGAAGATGGAATGATGGGAAGGACTTATTATGTTCCTGCAACCACCATATATAAAAAAAAATGCCTTTGTTTTGTCATGATGCAAAGTGCATTTCAACAAATATAACAAAATGTTTAAAAAACACAGCACCCATAGCTTTAAGGCAGTAAAAACCTTCTTTCTATTTCACTCATAGCCATTGCCCTTTAACAAACTTTTCAGACCCAGAACAAGTGCTTGCAGCTCTTAGTTCACGCAAAATTGCCACAGCTTTTCTGCAGAAGAGGCCGAAAAACAGCAGAGGTTAACCGAACATGATGGATCTTAACCAGAATGTTCACCCACACACACACACAAACAAACACATACACACAGACAGATCTGACCAGCTCTTACAGAGTAGAAGAGGAGCCGGAGAGCACGCTTCACAAGTGTCTGAACACAATGTTGATGCCCACTTACTCTGTGCTCTGTGAAACCTGAAAACACTGAGGGCAGATAGAACACGCTAAGCAGAGTCAGTAGAAGTCTGGAGTGGAGTTTTCAGATCAACCTGATCCCAGAGGCTCTGTATGTCAGACTACACAGTATACTGTTGCCAAGGACGGTCTTAGTGTTCAACATTTCAACAAAATGAAGAGAGTGATTCGGATGTATGCTAATGAAATGTATTAATTACTAGAGAATGGACAGGAAGTGTATGCAAAAATGATTCGTAATATATTCATTTGAACCACTGGCTACTAAATGTACTATAGGTTACAAATAATTTCTCTAAATATTCACAAATGATGAGCTTTCGTGTGAAACAGTACATTGGCAGAACACAACTTATAAACAAAAAAGTAAAAAATCTAAATGTAAGGCAAGGCAATTATGGCAATGCTAAAAAGAGATGGGACATACAAATCCTGCCAAAATACAGTTTATCATATTATATCTCATATGTATAGAATTAGTCTGACCAGTGTTGAAAAAGTTCTTGTGCGGGGCAATTCAGGAGAAAGTCATAAACATTTTTCATCCAAAGAAGCCTTTACAACCCTTCCAATATCATCTAGGGGAATAAGGTACAAATGGAGTTGTGTTTAAACAAAACACGAAACTTCAATCTATCAGCACCTGGAAAGATTCAAAGAGATCAAATAAATGGAAAAAATAAGTTGAGAAACAAAGGAGTTTCAAATAAATGGGTCACAGAAATAAAGAGTGGAAAACCTCAACTAAGGATTTGTTAATGCCCTTTTTCCATTTGGTATAGATCTCTAGATTTGGCAGGATGAACAAATTGAGTGATGACACTGATAACTTGCAAAGTATACCGTATTGAGGTCAAGCTATTGCAAAGCTGCACTAGAAGACAAAGACAGCTGCCTTCCAGCCACCAAGAGGTTTTAATGCAGAGAGGCCGACCTCTGCATCAAATCTGTCATACTATATAAGGGCTTAAGAAGAAGATCAGCAGAGCAAAAATCAAAGCTCAGCAACTTCATTTTTGTAATACTCAGGGTAATGTTGTATTCCCAGGTGGATGTCACACTCTGCACAGAGCCTGGTGAGAGGGGTTGACTGGGGGTGACTATATATACACTATGTTAATATCAATGTTTTGATGTTGTTCTCTCAGAATAAGGGTTGTACAGCTGGTGGACTTTTTGGGAGTTGAATGTGAATGTGGATCTATCAGCTAAACAAACTGACTGTTCCAGAAAGGCAATGGTCAGCAGCAGAGGCCTATTCACACAAGGACCTAAACACATCTTTGCTTATATATACAGTACATTTGTCTGTACTCTGGTCATTTAAACTAGCAAACCGGAGAGACAAAGATACCAACAGCGTTTCATCAGTCATGGCCCAAGGACCACCCGTTCCACTTAGAGAATGTCGCAAAAGCCTTTCAATATGTCGAACCAAACTACTTTGTGTCTGCAATCATAACGTCAAACCGGTGACAGACTGCTCGCTGAATCCCATAACCCATAGCTGTATTCAAGGAGGAACATTCAATGCTGATGAAAAATTGAAATTCTTGCCAATACATGTTCAATCTCTTGGTTTCCATTCTGTAAGCGTCATCAGTTTCTTTGTGGTTCTACTTGAAGAACTGCTAGATCCATGTTCTTCCCATGTTGCAACCAATAGCATATTTTCACCAGAGCCTCCTTGCCTAGTTAACCGCTTTTAAGTATATGCCGTCAGCTTGAAACACAGGTTCTCTGTTAAAAATCAGTTGGTCCATGTCCAAGCAGTGATAGCAGCCAATGGCATCATAATTAGTGTAAGGTAGCCGTACAATTAGTGAAATGACCCTCTAAGTGTTGAGGCTTCTGACCTAAAAGTGGATAATAGGTCTGGACTTGTTAGAGAGAACATCAATTAGCTCCAAATGGTTTCTTAAAAGGTCACACATAACTTAAGGGCCCATTAAATTAGGAACTTGTTTCCCTGCATGTCGTATCTTTTTTTTACCAAAGCCAGATAAAAAGTCTGTCTGCTTACTTTTCCGTGCATGAGGAGGCGGATGGTGAGGGTGACATTGAGGCCGCCCTCTGACGGGACTTTAGTGGGTTCCATCTCCATGCTGGGGGGAAGTAAGGCCAAAGCAATGTCCTGGAATGGGATGTCCTCAAGAGGAGAATGGGTAGGGTGGAATACCAGCCAGCCAGTCACCTGCCAAACACAATATATGTTACACACTGTATACAGTTATATTTGTACAATTATAATTAAACAGAGAGAGCATTAATATAAAAAGATGAATAGATTGATATATAGATAGATAGATAGAAAGATAGGGTCTATTGATTTACATATATCGCAATATGACTTTCAGAGTATGTATTGCCCCGAAGACATTTTGAGGTAATGAGAGGGATATATGTAAATAATTCAAAGATAAACTAACTATAGCAAGTTTTGTCATAAAGAAGATTGGATGTTATCTAGAGTGACAAGTAAAGGTCCAATTTGGTTTCAAATCGACATTGATCATTGAACACCAGCTTATCAATAAATGCTTTGAAAAACTCCTGACCTGACAATAATCCTATGACTTGCAGACATCATTAGATGTATTGTGTTTGAAGGTTCCTTCCTATAAGTCAGACATTAAATCTTTCCTCCAGTGTCCTCATTACATGTATTCAAATCATTTGTGCTCCCCTTTGGCTTTGCTGGTAAGGCAAAGGCAAACAGGACAGTCATGCATTGATGGCTCAGCAAAAAATAAGGAACGTTTATTTTTGGGTAGACTAAGGAATGTTCTGTTTGTTTTATTGTATTATCTTGCTAAGGTTACATTATGTATATTAAATCTATATCATCTATACTAGGTATTTTCCCTTGAGTTACTGCAAAACTTTTTTTTAGGAAAGATATATGAAAGATGCACAATTACATTCAATTTGATTCTCCCAATGGCTTGAACCGCTAAGCCTTTGATCACAAATGTTGTTCTCTAACCATGTTGCCATTGTCCTTACACCCATGACAGCATGACCAAATATTCATTTTCCTAATCCCCCCTGTTGATGTTCTGCTGTTTTAATTACCTGCAGAAGTTGTCATTTAAATGTTCTACATAAATCATACAGCCACAAGGGAATTATAGCCAATCAAATGTACTCTGTGGACTGAAGTTGGGCACATTTATGTTGGTTTTATGTTTTTTGGCTACAAATTCAAGTCCAAAATACAGTTATAATTTCAGCCAGACACAACCTACACAGTATAGGCTATGTTTGTGCTCATTCAAAAAGAAAAACTCATCACTTCAGTATCCCAAAATATAGACATTAAGAACATAGACCAATATAAATAATAGTGCTGCTTTTATTAATCAATTCATTCTCAAATATTTGGCCTAAATTAATTGCCAACTCTTTTGGCTGATAAATCAGTATAAGTAATACTGTATAAGTATATTTTCTCTTGTTTTATTTATTTATTATTTTATTTAAATGTAGTCATAAATGAGAAAATGTTTTTCTCACAGTCGTAACATTACACACTATGGTACGATGAGTGGCGGCATGCCGCAAAACTTTGGTTTGTAGTCAGCCATTAAAACAAACGAAGAAGAAGAACGCCAGGTGAAGCTGGCTCCTTTATTAATCAATTATCCAGACATGTATACTATAGCCAATATTATCTCGCTAAGAATATTGAATGTACTGAATGTGGGCTCATGAAACGTTCGACAAATATGAGTCCATTCACTTAGACAACACAACAGGTTGTTAACTCAACAACAAGAAAGTGAGCTATCAAGTGACATCATCAGTTAGCTTAATTAACTAAGTTATGCTAACACCGTGCGCTAGGTAGCAGCCATGGAAGGTGGACTTTTGGTGAAAGTGGACAACAAAAACTACGCAGCCAGCAACCCCTCCTATGTGAAGAAGTATCTGATATGGACATGAATATCAACCAGTTGTCTTCCATGAAGAACCGGAGAATGACCAATATCTCAAAAATGGTGAGTAAATGAACCCTTTGTTTGGATGCTGAAGTCGTTATTGTTCACTTTTTGCACTGTTTGTGGTTTGTTATTGTGTGTAGTCTATTCGGAAGTTTGGGTAGTGGTTTGTTTGTTTGTTTGTATTGAAATAGATAGTGAAGAAGGAATGCTTCTGCCCTGTCGAGGCTAGTTTGTTTGCATCAGTAGAGTGATATTAGAATGACTTATGTGATTATTGCACTGCCTTGATGCGGAGGTAGAATTGTTTTAAATGTCGTGTTAACGAACAAAAAACAAACCTAAAAACGCTCTTTTTAATATTATATTGGTCAATTTCAGTTGAACTCCTTCAAATTTAAAACGTGTTCCTAGTAATGTTTCTGTAGTGTTGTGGAACTGAACTACAATGGCTGCAAACAACCAACGTTGACTTTTATACAGCTAAATACTCATTGCACCTGTTGACATTAGCACTTCCAAGTCATAACACTGGGAATCCTTCCCATTGCTGAATTATAGCTTACATTATATAGCATTTAGGAAATAAGATGTAGTGCTCTACTTTTAACAGTGTATCAGCAAAGTGGGAACAATGTTATCTAGTTTTAATCTGTCAGCATATTGACCACATCATTAAGATGTATAGTTGCTCTGTACCAAAGTACTTGTGTGTTGCCTGGATTTGTGCTTGAAGGTTTTGTTACACATTTGAAAGAGTTTTGGAAATGTAATCAGCCGAAGTCATGGCCAAGGTTTATTTGGTTCAACAAGGAATTTGTGAGTTGAAATCAGTTTGGTGAGTTTGTTCGTCTTCTTATCAGCAGTATTCGCATGAAAACTTCATGTAGCATGTATTATGGAATAACCTGTTTCATTTCCAGCAGACAAATGCACTATTTTTACCTTATGTAAAAAAATGGTATGGCAGAAAGTACAGTGTACCATACTTGTTTTTCACCTTATATTATTTTTTTCAAACCAACTTCTATCAATTTCTAAAAAGCATTGAAACATAATTTGCTGAATTAAAGACAATGCCTGGAAGAAAAACAAAAAGGTATTCTTATCTGTCCTACTTGCCCTAGCTCTAATGACCACAGTGTTTAGTTAAAGGTGACAGACAGATGGTGTGTGTAGCATCTGTGATGGCCTCACAGATTGTGACGCAACCAAAGGTGCTAACAAGCTTGTGTGTCAGATAACATGATACACATCTAGAGCTCTATTAATAATGTTGGCCATGTTGGGATGATTTGTTTGTGGCTACACCTTGTGAGTGTGCTCCAGGGGCGCCTGGCCTCATATCCGGTGCGTTGATTATTGTTTACTGAGTCTTATGATAATGATTTTATTCTTGCTGCTGCCAGTTGTGACGCACCAAATCATTCTAATGGCATGTGTTCATGTTCCCTTGCTGTTTGAAATATGTGTTCAAGGGCAGAGTCTGAATATTTTGGAGATACCTTAAACCACCATCTAAGGTTTGAGTTAGTGCAGTATGTTGGAATAAATACCGCGAGGACAACAGGTGTTCCTCTCTGATGTGATCATGGTTAGCACTTAAAGCATAAAGGAATTGTTCGACATCTTGTGAAAGCAGCATGTGGTGACATCTTGAATTCTCTGCTGGTTGCCTGGCAACCTTAAGGTGAAGAAGAGGGATGTCCCTGCACATTGCCAAGAAATACTGATACAGCATTGCACATTTTGACAAAATCAATAACCCATACGTAAATCAGTCAGCGTATCGTTTTAAACAAAGACAACCAAAAATGTTCATGGTATGGTCTTTTTCTGGTAATTTAATAAATGTCCTACTGTAAATAGTCCTTATGAAACATAACAGTTTTGAGTGAAATTATAGAAAAAATAAATAACAAGGCAAAAATTATCATGACATCGATTACATAATCTATGTACTGTTGCTTTACTTTTTAACTTGCAGATGTTAACAGTGATTATTTACACTTAAATCCCCTTGTGGAGTGTTGGAGGTAGAAGTAGAGGGTCTTGTTATATTTGCTGTTTTAGAAAAGCTCATTGATTAGATGTTTTGTCAGAAAATGCCACGAAACATTTTACAACAATTAGTAGCTCAGTTTATTTGTTTTATTTTATTTGATATTGCTCTATCTCTTTTCCAAATGTCCTTATATGTGAATACTGAAACTTTAACCTAGGAATGTTTCATGACAAATCAATGTATCATTCCTTTTGTCCATTCATGGTGTTTCCAAGGACAACCAGTGCTTTTAGAGAACTAGTATTTGCCATGCAATGAAAACAGAACAGCAGAAACATAAAGCTTTGGCTAATCATCCAAAAAAACATGAACAAATCCGTACCATCATGGTACAATGTTGTCTACCTTAATCAGCTACATACATTTGAATACATACATTCAAGTATTTATGTCTACTCATGCGTAAAGTAAAGACTTGAAAAACATACTGTTTTCTAATTTTATTGTAGGATCCTTTAGTGGTCAATGAACATAACAGTGTCTGTAAATGTAGAGAATATTAATAATAAAACATGTTATTTATCAAGTGCTTTCAGTTGCTCAAATACCCTTTACAGAGGTAATAGAAATAGTCAAATAAAATAAAAATAAAATAATGATCAGCACAAGGACACAGCATTAATCACACATTATAAAACGGACAAGTCAAATCAAGCAATCTGATTGGTTCTTAGCCGTGATATAATGAGCGTATACCACGGGTAGAATTGTAGTTACTTTTCAAAACAAGTCAGTATCCCTCCGCATCTGAGAAAAGCTACAACCGTTACAACTGTTACATTACGTCCGTTACGAAACTAACTAACAAAGCTTAAGATGGAAACATGTAAGGGATAATGTGCAGCAAGGACTTATTGACCGTTGTTAAGGACGCTCACATCTGCACAAAGAAGTCCGTTCGATTGAACTGTATACAGTTTGGCCGAAAAGCAAACTGCATGCCGTTTGCTTTTCAAACTGGGACAAGAAAACAGCGGAGAAGTAACGGGGAAGAAACCCTCCTTTTTACGCAGCGGTCCAGCCATAGACATAAAACGGCAAAACATATTCAGTTGCCAATTACTTTGGCATTATGGCAGGGATATCTAGATATTTTCCAAGGTTTGACATAATGAATTGTGTTACTTTTAAAGTAAGCAACAATGTTTTCAAATCTGTAATCAAAAAGCTCCTCAAAAACGCTATCGA